TACCCCGTTTATACGTTGCTTGAAAACGGTTTCAACGCATGCGTTTTATTTGAAACCACATTTATAAACAGAGTTTTAATGCGCATTCGAAAAATTTATCGTATTCTCTCGAACCGACTTTTGAAAGCGTTGTGAAAACATGAATGCGGGTTGAAAAAGTGCACAAACACTTCTTGTCTAGTTTATTTCGCTTCAGTAAAAGAAAACAGCTGTTTCCATCATTACATAGTGTAGCCAGGTGCTAAAATTACTTTTTATTTTATGATATTGTACAGTACATATATAACGTACATACTATAAGGAAACATTTCATATGCTTACTCTAATTTATATTACGCATATATTGTACACAGTTTATTTACTTTGAGATACGTTATAGTATATATACGTTAGTTATTATCAAATCACGGTATGTTCAGTTTCGATGATTTCATTATTACGCTAAACGCCACCGGTCATCGTATCAAATGCCATGTAATGCGTAATGGCATTACACTGAGGGGAAAAAATATTAAAATCAAATAGAAACGTAATTGATCTTACTATAAACGTCAACGAAAGTACTGTATATTGGTAAATAATCAATTCAATTACGCGTATATTAAAATGACCCCGTTCGGTCTGAAAAAGCATCCGTTAAGCGAATAATCAAGATAAGAAACAAAACAAAAATATATTTAATTTGCATTTTACCTGCAGTGGAATTCGAAGCCTGACCCTCTCTGGATATCATCAAATTCTGGCAAGCATCTTTGCGCACTCAGCTACAGCCAGACATATAAATGTGCTTTCAAATGTTGAATTTCCATCAACGCAACAGCACGCGATTTGTACGGATAAACACCCTGTAGGATATTGAAATCGACTTAGAGCACACCACAAACTAGACAGCAGGTGATTGTAAGTAGTCCAAAGTTTGGTACAAGCACATGTAAAATTCTATTTACATTTAACATGTAATGTCCTAGGCTCCGACCAATTGCCCGCTTCTGCATTACATTGTAACCAATTTTAGATAAAAAAAATAAAAAAAAACTTGTGCCAGCTGCGATTCGAACCGGGGTTCTCAGATTTTCTAAGCGGATACTCTCTCTGCATGCCAACGCCGCACATGAAAACTCGTTGAGTAAGTGCCTATATATCAGTAAATCGTTAATTGTACCCGTTGTCCGCTACTGCATGACATTGTAACCAATTCTAGATCAAAACTCATACCTTATGCATTACATTCGGACCACTTTTAGTACAATTCACCTGTTTTACATTACATTGCTTTACATTTTTGGACTATCTTTGGTCTAGATTTGAATTACGAATCGAAGATAACTTTTGAAAAAAATAGTGCTTATTGTGAGGCTTCTGGCAACACTACTTTGTGAACTTCACTATTTAGAAACAGCTGGTAGCAGTATTCGGACTTCCCTGCGGTTGGAGTAGATCCACTCCGGTTTTTAACGTTATTAAAATTTACTCCTCTACTCTGCTTGTCTGAATACCTGCTCCGTCTTTTAACTGACGTTAACCCACTATTTAATAATCTTTTTTTAATACTATTTAATAATATATAATATAATATGGTTATCCATTGAACGCGTAAGTTCCTCGTAACCGCGTAAATCTCGTAAATAAACGATTTTCCATACAAAATTAAGGAAGCTTACGAGCTTTACATGGTTACGAGGCATTTACGTGTTTAGATGAATTGCCCTAATAGGTATTTAATAATAGTGGTAAAGTCGCAATTGTATATGTGTACATTTTTTTAAATGTCGATTTTTTTTAATTTTTTTCAAAAATGGTTATAGTATGTACGTCGTATTAAATTATAGTATGTACGTCGTTTAAATTGATATCAACACTTTTCAAATCGGTTGAGTAGTTTTCGAGATATTAAAAATATAACAAAATAGAAAAGTTTAACCTTATACTCTTTTATTTGCTTTGTTCGCGCCAAATAATATTGGTATGGTTGAAATCAGAGTAAAAAGTTCTATCGATCCGCATTTTTGATTTTCTTATACATAGCTAAACGGTTGGCATTCTAGACTTGTTCCAATATCATTTTACAAAACGTCTCATATTTACGTTTTATATTATACCTATATATTATTTCCGTAGTAGAGTTGGATTTTTAATTTACGAATCAAACATTGTA